ACAGACCATTGTGCAAGTTCTAAGTAAATACAGAGCTTTGGAGTGGGAGGGCTAAGTCTTCTTTTGGGGCTGAGTGTAAAAGGGTAAGGAAATTTCTTGTGAAAACTGTATACTTGAAGAACTACTGTGAAAGGTCAAAAGAAGAGAGGGTACATTATGAGAAAAAGTTACAGTAACAATCTGGCCTTGTTTGGATTAATTATTACATTTCATTTTATTCTTTTATTATTAAAGGCACAAATGTAAAAGTGTTAAAGTGTCCATTAAATAGTACCTGTCTGAGGACTGTCACCTTTCATCGCAGCAATAGTAATACATCCATACTGCACTGGAGGCTAACTAAGCACCATCCTATTTCACTTAAATAACATATTGTGCAATTTGCAAATATTTGACAGCTATGTGCCGTGATATAATCTCATGTGTATAATACCTGTTTACTGTGTTACTAGCTGTTTGGTAATATTATCAATCCTCTGTTTAATTTTCTCATCATTTAAAGCAGTATTTAAACACCAAAGCAAACATTTTGCAGCTTACCAATTCTTAGATTGCTTTAGTTTGCTTCTTTAGGCGTTCTTTCTTCTATTTTCATCTGGTGATCCTACCAATAAGTCTGTTGTTTTTCAAAAGCACAAGCTTTCTTGCAGATGTATTAGTTTACAGGGTTGAGACCATTCATTCAATGCTGACAGATGTGCTTACAACGGTGAGCTTTTATTTTTTCTTGTAAAACTTTTATCCCAAAAGGAAAAAAAAAACAATATTTGCTGTAACTGCGTATAAAGTGTGATCTGGAGTTTGCGTTTAAAATGTTAGTGTATTTAAATGTGCTACTCCATCTAATACTCCCCTCCCCCAAGACTGACCATGCTGCTGTGCAAAGGAGCCCCTGTGCTCCGTTATCTAGAGCAGTGTTTCTCAACCGTTTTCAGTCAAGGCACCCTTTAAAAATTATGGACAGTCCCGAGGCACCCTTTAAAATTATGGACAGTCTTGAGGCACCCCATTTTAAAATAGGGTGCCTCTAGACTGTCCATAATTTTAAAAGGACACCCCATTCTAAAATGTGAAAAACTATTCTAATAGTTTGATATAAGACAGCAACCTCCACACATGTAGGACACCCAACATTAGAAGTGATTATTCTTCCAAAGCAAATACACTTTTGCACACTGGTACTGACTAGTATTCCAATGTTTCTCCTCTCCCTCAGTTTTTCTCCATCACTTAGCTAATGTGACCCCAGCACTGATGGAGAGGGGCAGGGGAGGGTCAACCTAGGATGCTGTGCAGGTAACTGACATCCTCCTTATCAACTGATGAAGTCATTGGTTGCCAGAATGCCAGCAGGTAAAAGGTGGTAATGGTGCACAATGAAAACCTGTGGCTTTGTGTAACTAAAAGGCAGGCTTGTTCCACCCGCTGGCTTGTATACAAGTTTTGCAAAATTTTTAGACTTTCTACCAAGGCACTCCTGAAAAAACCTCAAGGCACCCCAGGGTGCCTGGGCACCCTGGTTGATAAAGGCTGATCTAGAGTGGGGATGTTCTAATACAGGAGGTGTATTACTGGCTAGATTACCAGGTGAAAAGGGAGGGGAAAAAGCCTAAAAAAAGAGAAAACGAATGCAGCCACCACATCTAGTGACTGGTAAGATGCAATATATTACATTTTTGGTTTTGGGTATAATACTACTTTACTTCCAAATGAACCTTCATTTTTTTAAATTTCCAGTTTAAGAGGTAATAAACAAGCAATGGCACTGCCAGGGGTGGACTGAACATTTAGAAACTCGGGCACTGCCCCGAGGGCCCGGGGTAAGTAGGGGGCCCCATGAGATGCCCCTGGTACCTTTTTCATAGGCTTTTTTGAGCTTGGGCAAGGACACAGGGGCTCCAATAATCCCCTATTTCCCGTGGGCCCCAATGAGTTGTCAGTCCACCACTGGGCACTGCATTTGTATAGTCTGTTAACCTCCTTGGCGGTATTCCCGAGTGTAGCTCGGGGTAACATTTCAGTACCAAAAGCGGTAAACCCCGAGCTACACTCGGGAATACCATGCGGCGCTGCTCCGGCATGTGTTCTTCACTTACCTTACCCTGCGCTCCCGCGATGTGTCCCCTGCAGCGTCCCCGGCCATCTCCTCCGGCCGATGCCGGCATCCGGCTTCTGTGTCCTGTCCCTGTGACGTCGGGACGTACGGGCGCCGCTGCCGCCGGCGGCGGGAAATTTAAAAGTTTTAAAAAAATGTCATTTTTTTTTTTTTTTTCATTTTACACAGTAAAACATTGCTGTTTCAACCTATTTCACATACATTTTGTCCCGAGTGCTTTGTCCTGCGCCCTGCCTGCATTTTGTCTGTTCTTTCTGCCTGGAAACTGAGAAATGTCCATGGCGTCCAAAAAGTGTCCCTTTAGGTCAAAAGCGGTTTAGATCAGCTAGAGAACAGCGATAGTAAATCAGAACCACTTGCAGAATTGAGTGATAATGATTCGTGGGGGAAATTCGTCATCAGAAACTGAAAACGATTTTGCGACTGAGCTCAGCGATGTGCGAACTTGGCGCTCTATTTCACATTTCAGTGTTTTTGGTTTGATTATATTATTGAATTAAATTTTTTATTATTTTTATATTATTTTTATGATTATTTATTAAATTATAATTTATGATTTTGTGTTTCAAATTTTATCATACCCGGGATGTTTACTAGACTCTTGTTCGGACAGATTTCAGTGAGTTTTTCCTAAAAATTACAGCCTACAATAAAAAAAATACATATTTCCATGCAAAAAAATGGTACCGCTTTCATCACCAAAAATCTGAAATAATCATACCGCCAGGGAGGTTAACTGGGGCCATACACCCCGGCTGGGAATACAGTATCATGAACTGAACGATGTACATGTAAGAGTGATGTAATAGTACAACACCATTGCAGCACATATAAAAACTAACAAAGTGAAACAAATCAGTTATTATAACAAAATAGATGTGTCACAGGTGTAGCAGACATATTAATAGACAATGAAATCCTTCCAATAGGAATATACAGTCAGGTCCATAAATATTGGGACATCAACACAATTCTAACATTTTTGGCTCTATACACCACCTATTGCCCGGGGGCCCCATGAGTTGTCAGTCCACCCCTGCTAAGGGGTTAATCCTCTGCATTGTGTAAAAAAGGATGTTTGATCCTGTCTTCTCTGATCCTCACCTTCTTCCACAGTCCCCAATCCATCTCGTGATAGAACAGGGCCTTAGGGGCAAGCTGCACATGCTAAGTTTGGTGTGTATTGCTAGAGAGTTTTTTTCCTTTGGGAGAGTGCATGTGATCAGTATAGGGCCAATCAGCACTGTCCAAACAGAGGGTCAGGGGTTATGCAGCCTCATAGGACAGTCAGAGGAGAATGAAAACTCCTCCTACAAGCTTTAACCAGTGCTCAGCTGGACACTGATAGAAGTCACAAGACTGCTATATACTGCTGATGAAAACAATTATTTAGCAGTTTATATTTACTAAAATAATTGCATTTCCATGTTGTATGTACTGTGAGAGACCAGATATAGTGAATGTAGGGTCCTGGCTTTAGTAACACTACAATATCATTTGTGTTTTGTTTTTTTGCCTCATTCACACAGAATAAAATTACATAAATTTTCAATGGATGATTTGCTATGTGAATTTTTCTATAAATACACCTCCATGTGTCTTTTCAATCATTTATACAGTATAAAGTTGTGATGTCAATCACGACCAATAGTGCTCAATCCCACAGAGTGCTCTGTATCCCGTGCAAGGTCCTCCACCGCTATGCACTCACCAGAAAGCTGCTTGGTTAGTAGCATGTATATCATGAGGTCTATGCCATCCACATTCCAGAAACTTTACCAGTCAGATAAGGTCCTGAGGGAAAATAAGCTGACCACATGGAGCCCAGGGATTGATATACTGGCGTACCTCGGTTTACGAATTTAATGCGTTCTGCAAGACTTTTCGTTTTGCAAAACTTTGTAAACCGAAACGCGGTTTCCCATAGGAATGCATTGAAAACCAGTTAATCCGTTCCGGAGGTCAGGCCTCTGTAGAGAGTCCACTGCTTCCTTTTCTGCAGCATATTGGCAGGGATCAGGCTTTTCTACTCACGCTGTAGCTCCTTTGTAAATAAAACAAATTGGAGGACTTTGCAGGACTTCTGTTTTGGTGGAATGATGGAATATTGATGGAATGGAATGTATTTATGATGGAATGTAATCTGATTTAAAGTTAATTTGAGCTTTAGAGCTAAACTCCGGATAGTGATGTAAATCACTATTAAATGTAATTGCGTATTCCTTTAAAAATAATTAAAAGCATGGTATTTTTATATAGAGTTGGCAAAGTTTCCTGGATATGCATTGACATTAGCCACCTGTTACCCCTGCTCAGTACTGCATTATTAGCCAATCAGGCTCTGCTGCATGCACAGCTACCTGCAGACAGGAGAGTGAGCGGAGTTGATGACTTATCAGGTTGTTGCTATTTTATTGCTGTCCAATCAGCCGTGGGAGTTTTGGAGAGGGAAGGGGGGGGGGGGAGATGACACCTCTGTAAAGTGGTTCTAAACCTCAGACATGAAATATGAACAAAGCATATCCTTCTATCGTGTGTACTTGTCTCAATCCAGAGCGCAAAGTGTCATTTTCTGTCTGCTGCTTCATTCCTCTGCTATCAGCATGAGTCAATTTTGACAAGTTTTCCTGACACCAAAAATGGTGACAGTGGAGCAGGGGTGGACTGACAACTCATGGGCCCCCCCCCCGGGCAATAGGAAATCATGGGGCCCCTGTGTCCTCGCCCACACTAAAACCACACCCAAAAAAGCCTATGAAAGGTACCAGGGGCATCTCATGGGGCCCCCTACTGACCCTGGGCCCTCGGGCAGTGTCTGAGTGCCTAAATGATCAGTCTACCTCTGCAGTCAAGGGACCTCCAGTAGATTGACAGCCTCCGCTCTATTACTGTGTTCTGTGTGGAGGGGTGTGTCTCTTCCTTCCAATCAGCTCTAAGACCCTCCTTACTGAACTCTGCAGAATGTGATTTCAGCTCTGTGCCCCCTTTTTTTTTTTTCTGAACTCTCAGACAAGCTTTATAAATTTAGCATTTTGAACAGATGTAGAGAAGAGAATACTACAGATAAAGAGGTACAACTTATGTAGGTGGATTTGTTTCATATCTGTGTATCACCTTAGGCCAGCCACTTCACTGGGTATTTGAAAGGGCTTACAATACTTTAAAGTGTTACTTAACCCACAACAGTAAAATCAGTCTGTATATGCAGTAAAGCATGCTTGTTATACTCACTGTGGAACCTAAGGGGTTAATCCTCTGCATAGTGTAAAAAGGCCATTTGATCCTGTCTTCTCTGCCCCTCCTCTTGTTCAAATGTCCACCTGATAAGACAGACTGAACCTGCAGCCATATGCACATGCACAGTTTAGCGTGTATTGCTAGAGATGTTTTTTTTCCTTGGGAGAGTACATGTGATCAGCACAGGGCCAATCAGTGCTGTCCAGACAGAGGGTCAGGGGTTCTGCATCCTCCTAGAGCAGAAAGAAAACTCCTCCGACATGCTTTAACCAATGCTCTGCTGAAGTCACAAGACTGCTCTAACTGCTGATGAGAAAAGGTATTTAGCAGTTTATATTCACTAAAATCATTGCACTTCCATG